TATGACCGATATGAATTATATTGATGTTTTAATCAAATTTTCAATGAAATGATATATTTCAAATACAACAAATAAAAAATATAGTTTATATGTAAAAAGTAGATGGAAATAGTTTTTTTTTTATGTCAAGAAAATTATATAGGTAATATTTTATTTAATGATAGAATTGATTTACTTCCTCATCCTCCTTGAAAAAGTGTAAGCTTTACACTATTTCAAACATGAATAACTGCTACAGGATTATTAAGTTTAACTGTGCAAAAAATAATAATAGAATTTACAATTGTTGATCATGCGTGTTAATAAAACGATTTATAGCAAAATGTAACATTTACCTACCATATTTTTAATTTTTTAATTTTTTAAAAAAATATTTACTATCTGTGCTACAAAACATAATAATCAAATTTAAACATAATCATTTTCAATACAAACATTTTTTAAACACTAAAACCGGATAAATTTAAATAATACGTATAGGTATTAAATATTTTATTACTTTTGTATGACCTTACTATTGTTAGTAGCCTACAGCAGTACTTGCAGTCAATAAAGTGTTTTGAACTTGTTGTGCTGCTACTAAAGAATTGTTAGATGTTTCGTATACATAAAAAATTTGCACCTACTTGCAATTTTTTTTGCTACAATATTTTGGATTTTAGTAAATAATAAATAAAAATAAGAACTTTAGAACCCATACAGAGGTTATAGGTACCAACTTAAAATATAAGTCTAGAAATAAGATAGTAATATGGGTACAGCTTCCGCATATTTTAACTTTAATTTCACTCATAAATTTAATAAAACATATATGACATGTGAGAATATTAGTAGAAAGAATATAAATAACTAAAATAAGTAATTAGTCATATAAATCTATACAATTTTTGAAAGTACGAAAATGCTAAAATAAAGTGTTCAAAGGGCATTTGTGTGATAACAGTTATAAAACTGGCAATAATTTACGATCTTTATAATCAGGAAGAAAATATTTTTAAATAGGTACTTTGAACGTTTCCTTAACATAATTTCTTATTTTTATGACATCCCATCTAAAAAATGTTGCATTTTTTTAAAAAAATTTTTAATACAATTTTATCCACGTTGGTATGAGTCATTTAAGTGCCACTAACGATGCTATGAACTAGTTGGGTAGTGTTTTTTGTTTTTATTTTAAAGGCCACACTTTCACTTTTTTATTCTGTTTATTTAAAGAACTTTTGAGTAATCATCTAATCATAATAATTATGTCAATTGTTTATTCTAAACTGTCAAACAAATAAACAACACTCGATAAAACCGTCAAAAGTAAACAGTAAACAATAAAATATAAGTAAAATAGTAACAAAAAAATTCAAATGAATATATCCATTTATTTTTAATCAAAACTTTGAATCAACATTTACAAATTGTACCCAGTTCTGAAACTTTATTTCAAACTTACCCGAGACATGTCTGTTATTCACAAAGTTGCTGTTAACGTATAGATATTATATTCGATCTATAGTGTAATACAGCCAGCAAACAAGACTTATCTGGCCCTCTGAAGGACGTCGAATTAACTAAAAATATGTATATAATATTCCTAATTGCTATCGCATACACTCCTTATCATCGTGACACCATATGACAATGTAAATGCGTCAGGTATTATCATCAGTATCATGATTTAATTTATTTTATATGGGTTAACATAATATATTTTGACCACTTAGAGGTTTTAATTTTTACGTAAGGCCCTCGAATAAAAAAGTGTAGAGACCCCTGCTATGATCATATATATTTTCGTCACTGATGTTTCTGAGACCTTTCGTCGCTATCCTTCCTCGGGATTATTGACAGTCAACTAAGTCGAATAGTTATCGAGTATGACCGCTATTGCTCAGACAAAGCATCGCCTCAAAAACGTAATACTTCAATGTAATATTATAATATGTGTATATTTTTTAAATGTTTTATTAAACTCTACTACTTTCCGGTTATGAAGCGAACGAGTTTATTTTCGTTAAAAAACGATGAGCACACGTGTGTGAGTAGATTTCAGACACTAATATCAACCGGCAACAGTATAATTTATGGCAACGTGTACACCTACCATTTACCATACGATACCTATAGATCCATTAACTATTTTACATGTTCGCTGTTAAATTGTGTAATAAATAATAATAATATTATATTATTACGTTTAATACTGTGAGATATAGTATTTGGCTTTAACATTATCATAACTACATAACACTGTATTAAATATTACCTCAATATTACAGATTGTTTATTTTTTTCATACGTTCCAGAAAACTACTACAATTCCGATAAGTGATAAACAATTTAATTTATCTTCTACATTCAAATTATTATATCCAGTAAGATAATGTACTCACTTAATTCCTATCACCAATGCGCTTCGTTTATATTCCGTTTCACTCATTTTTCTCGACGTCATTGAAAATTGTTCTATCGAAAACTGTATACCTGGTAAACATAATATATATTATTCCCACTTGCAGTAATTACCCACTGGATTTAATTTTTAAATTGTCCGGACATTTTTCTTGAAATTTTATTTTAATTGTAAGTGCGCTGCAGTTTCTATGCGTTTGATATAATATGGTGTCCAATTTAACAGATAGCCTTCTGCGCTTGTGTGGTATTTTATAAAAAGCGGTCTTCGACAGACATTGTTCCTGATATTCCAAATGCATATGCAAACAGAACACCGTCATTATCGCTGTCGAACAAGATTAAATAATATTAATAGCCGATAGTGGGTAAAATACATTTTGATTATATCGTAGTGCACAAAAGTTATTTGTATAAATAAAATATTAACAGATTACGTAATAATATTAAAAAAATATAGAAAATAACAATAAATTGAAAAATTGAACTTTTAATTAATAATTTGGCGCCTCGGCTGCCGAAACCCCATTACCGGATCTGCGACTGGTAACGTTAACATAAATCACAATTTATAAGAGGATTAAGTGTGCATTATTTTTACTCGATGCTTCTGACTCATTTCACAACGATTGTTGTTCATTGCTGAATAATATCAGTCAATTATTTGTGTACAGATATAAGCATAGATTTTCTTTGTCCCGTGTACTTTTTAGTTTCAATGCATAAAAATACCATTCATTACGATTACTATATATGATATAATATGACTCTGGTTGCTCTAACACTGATACAGAAACCAAAATACTTGATAACACAACAACAACAATAATAAAATCATTTTAAATGACCATATAACTAATATTTTTCTTTAAAATCAATGCATTGAACACTCGTATGTATTGAATTCATTTTAAACTTTGAGTTCATCAACTTTAATCTGATACTAAAACATTGTAGGTAATTCTAAATAGATTTAAAATTAAGTTAAAAATAATGAAAATAAATTTTTTTCTTTTTAACCAGTTCTGAGTTATCTACATTCTACAAATATATATTTTTTTAAATAAAATTTAGTAGTTGTACTTGCCTGGTGTATAGCCTTTCTACCGTCTAAATATTATATTCTAAAGATAATTACTATAATTATTCTTGATTCAAACTAGTTTATAGCATATTAGTTGATAAACTAAATGCATTAGGAACCACTTTTTTATACGAGTTTGTACATGCTCAGTAGGTCACATCATTATAAAGAAATACATTTTTTTTTTAAATTATTAAATACTATTTTAATAGACCTGTTTCTAAACAGAAATTGACATATTGCTATTTTTTTTTTAAACATAATTATTTTTGTGTATATTTTAGTAATATATCTATGTAACAAGCGTATCATAATATAGGAATTATTAACCATATGATAATCCAGAAATAGGCGGAAATCCATCAATATCTAATTCGAGAAGTTCAGAAATGATAAACCAAGGATAACAACCCAAAAATTAAAAAAAAATAAACCACGCTTTAAGATATAAACTTATTTTGTAATTAAAATTGAAATAGTTTATAATATTTCATTATCATCAGATTCAAAGGTAGAGTCTAAGCCCACTAAACATGATACAATTTGTTCGATGGTTGTCAGTAGTCTTTCCTCGGGTATGATAAGATAATCTAAAAAAATATTAAATTTTTTAAATGAAATACTTCTACAAAATATGGGTTGATATTGATTTCCAATGCATAATTTATAGGTGCTCATTACATTTTTTCTCGTTGGTAACTAGTCAATGGTCAACGTTGTTACTGGATTAAATAGTGGGAAGGGGAGTTTGTGCTTCATCGCAAACATTTAGAGCGTTTATTAAAATCGTAACTATAAGTTGAATTGAATGAATGATTTTATTATGAACTATATTTGTTTACCTAGAATGCACATAAATTGAGCTCTAAAAACTGGTGTGAATAGTCATAATCTCGATGGGAAATTTATAGTTTTATGCTATAACTAAGTATGCATAACTTAAAACTGGTAGGCATGTCGTCAACTCGTCTATAATATAACTTTGAAAGCAGAGGTTTTGCCACGCAACTATTTAAACATTAAAGGGTATCTGGACTCTTGGCCGTACTCGACTATCGAAGATGCTTTAACTTATGGCATTCTCAAGACTAGGCAAGACAGAATGTTAAAGTGTATTATTATACTATTTAGTGTTTGTAACGTTATAGCTGGACAATTCAGTCAAACCAAACTTGCGTCTACGCATGGTTCCCGAGTATCGAATGACTCGACTGGCAGTAATGTAAATTTATGCAAAATACTACGTAGAAGTATTTTATTTTGTAACAATATTTTTACCAACCCGACGATAGTGAGAGATAATGCAATATAATGAAACACAACAATACAGTGTAGAGTGTCCCGTTATCGGTAAAAGTCACGTAATGGCTTTGTTGCTCCGACGCATATTATAATACGTATATTGTACCTGCTTTCCACACGAAAGTATCTTTTTCGAAAGTTGAGGTTGTCATATTATTCTGCGAAGTACCAACGCATAGAACCCGCTGACTTATTTGTTTGTCGTTTACAGGGTCAACAACCCCAAGCCGAAGACGAAAATACGCCGCAAAAACGGGTAGATAAGATATTCGATCAAATGGATAAAAATCATGATGACAAACTCACTCTGGAGGAGTTCAGGGAGGGAAGCAAGGCGGATCCGAGAATCGTGCAAGCACTTTCGCTCGGTGGAGACCACAACAATGCTGCAGCTCCCCAAACAGCCACCACATAAGTCTGTCGGATGAGAGTTTTTTCCTACGTATTGACTTTGTATTTATATTTTTGTGTCTAATTTTTTGTCCTTTAACTACATTATAATATAACAATATTGTAATTTTTCTTATAATAATATACTTAAAAAAAAAAAAAAAACATTTTTATGAATTCGTATATAAATTACTATATTCAGAATATTATAGTTGTACCTTATAGCAAATAATAATAATATAAGGTTATATTCTATCCGTCTTAGTAGATAGAAGTTTACAGCATAACATGCAGAACTTTCTTATATAAGTAGGTATCATCAGCGTTATTATTTTATACCTATATAAATACCCATGTAATACATATTATATATATATAACTAAATTTTATTCATTTTTGTGTGAAAAATAAATCTATATATTTGTAAGCACTTACATAGTTATAAATATATATAGATTCTAAATATTTGACCGATCTATGCACAATTGTTTTTAAGTTTTAAATCTACTAATCTTTGTAATTTCGTTAACTATTTGTTCTATTACAAATACAAATCACTGTTTTTTTTTTTTTTTTAAACAGTTTATATTTTACTGAAGATTCATTTCAAATAATGTGGTAGATATCATTCACATGTTTCTAGTCGTTAGTAATAACAAATTAAGTACCTAGCTTTGTTGATACGCATTTCACCTTCAATCGATATCGTAAACCGCTCAATGCACGTTTTGTTTTTAGTTAAGCTCACGGAAGTTGATTTGCATTTCAAATAGAAATATTGAAATTTCGTTTCTGAAATATTTTTTATAAAAATTAAATAGTAAATCCATAGTGTTAAAAAAATACCATTGTAATTCTCACTCATTAGTTTACTCGTAGATATGCTGAAATGAAATGTGAGAGTAAATATTTTGGGTTCTGACAAACAATAATACGAAGGTGTTTATTTCCGAAAAACACAATAAACCTCCATACTTCTATAGAATGGAGATCAAACATTCATTGCACTGAAGAACGTAATTTTTTCTTATTTTAATAATCACCAAAAACCACTAAAATACTGCGAACAAATATAAACTAGTTAAATTTTGGATATGCCATACCCCATTTAAGACTGTTATTGAAATGCAATATCGCTTGAAAATATTTAGACGCTTGTTCCAGTGATCCACCTGATCCTATTTTACTAGTTCGCGTCTATTAAGTCTACTATATACTTTTTTTTATTAAGTTAAGATATTAACGATCTGCACATAAAATGCACCTTGAATACATTGTATTTATAAATTGATTTTAACTGCCGTGATTGGCGTAATCGAAGAAGTCACCCTTAGTGGTACTTCAAACGTCAAATATACTAAACAATTTTTGTATGTGTGTTAAAATGATATTGCACGCCTACTTTAATATTAACAATTTGATAATAAATGCCATTAGATATTTTTTATGTACATTATTATTACATTTGTAAGAATTTTTTTTCATCCTTTTAGTACCTACTACCTACCTATTGATACTATTTTCATGTTTTTATTGTAAATATTCATGTATTGTTATGCTTTTGGTTCCGAAGATAATGACTTATATACTACATATTATTGTAATATTGTCTTCTACTTAATATTATCAGCTTCAAAAATAAAATATTGTTTTGTTTGGATTAAGCGTAATACCTATATATAAAATAATATTTATTGTTTATAATTGAAATGTAAATCGAGACTTAAAAATTCCTATTCCTACCACTTACTACTGCAACCAACCATATAGGATAACTTAGCAAATAAATAAAAAAAAACCGACTAAATTGTAATTATATTCAATGAGAGGTAACGTAGTAGATCCTCAATATTTTAATAAATGTATTGAGTAAAATTACCCAATAACTGAGTTGACGGTGAAATAAATATATAAAATGCATTCCAAAACCATCAATGTTACTTAACGCCAACTGAAATAAAATAAGAAAAAACCAGTTTACTTCATATCCTTGAAAAATTCTTTGTATTGATCGCCAATCATAACTAGCCACTAGTTGCTTTACTAAATAATTGATTTAAAATTGAAATGAATACATAAAGACTACCGTGACTATATTGTACTTATCTATATAAAATAAACGGCCATGTTTTATGTTTAATACTCATATTTTATGAGCATGATATCTTATCATTTATCAATATATTTATTTCTACAAAAAATCGTTATGTTGATCAGCATACTGTGGTTGTAAATGTATAAATAAGTGTATAATGTAATATGCACATGCCACTATGTCAGGAAGCATATAATAAAATCACAGATTTATTTGTTAGTTATTGATGTTTTGACATGGAGTACCTAGTTAGTTTTCTAGGATATGTAAGAAGCAGATTCGTATTTTTTTCTAGTTAAACTAAAATAAATCTAAAATTATTTTCCGACGAATCATAAATGCATATATTATATCAATCATGATTGAGTACAGTAAAAATGTACACAGATTTAAAAAATTAGAGATAGTTATGTAACAAGTACGGAAAGTTCAAATGGTGATATTTTTCATAATCACAGAAGATCAAAGATTGTTTCCAGTGTATAGTTTAAAGTGATTAGACAGTCATTATTCCTGTGAAATATCGGATATGGTTTATCAATTTATAATCGCCTGCTTTTCACATGACGACAATCTACCTATCCATCTCTGATAGCGAAGAGTGAATTTTTAATGGCATCTAAACCTATAAAATACTTTACTAAACAATATAATATATGTTATGTACATTTCAGAGTTGGAAAAGAAATATTTTATTTTTCTAATTTTTTTAAAATATTTATTAATGTTTTGCTTTTTCAGGATTCCATATTGAATTATCCGCCAATCCTCTGATACAAGGGCACAATGAATTGATATTATTTAAATGTATACCATTACAAATTGTATGTATTCTAAAAGATGTTTTAAAAAAATGAATCCATCATAAATTACCTATTTCAATGTATATCTTTAATAAAAAATCACAATTTACACACGAAGTAATTATGAACCACACTTCAAAATAAATATAATAATTAAAATTATATATTCATGAGTTTTTTAAGAAAAGATTATAACTATAAATCATAGAATTTAACAGTCTAAAGATGCAACGTGAACTAAAATTAGTCCCACAAAAATAAAAATATATCTACGAGTAAATAACTTCATACTCTAATTAATTACGAGTGTCGATATTTCAATATTTGTTTACACAATCGCAATTTGACGCATTTAAACATAGTTGTTATAAATTAAGTTCTTTAGCAAAAGTACTATTATTTATAAAAAAAAAAATGAACGGTTAAGTGTCTTTGTACTTAAGTTTCAACGCTCCGCAAAGTTATTGGTTTAAAAAAAGACCTAAACTATTGTGTTCTGCTTTAAGCTATAATTTACGTGTATATTATTGTAAATCACTTCCAGTGAACTGTTTCAATTTAATTTAATAGCCAAATTTCGCATTCATAAAAGTTTGAAACTATCTGGTTGATATTTAATGGGTAGGTAATTATTTGTGTAGTCCGACATTCTAATTTACATTCACTCATAACAGTGATGCGGATCTGTTCATGTACTTCGAAATGAGATGCTTTCAAATTTTTTGAGCACATTAAAAACTGCAGAATTTTTAAGATGACTCAATGCAGAGAAGGTATGTACAGTTCTCTGATTAATTGCAACAACTATAAATTAAGTATGTTCATAGGAGGTTATATATTGTGATATTTCCGATATTATAAAAACGTTAATTGCTCATTTCATTTATGATTCCAAGTTGAAGAGATTGAATTATGGACGAACAAAGAATTGGCTATTGGTTAATTCATAATTAATTTAATTCTAAGCTATTTAACTCTTTGTTTCTTTTTTAAGATACATATTTGGGTACATTATTTACATTTTATAAAAACTGTAACCAGCCTAAAAACTCAATTTTGGTGCCTATGAGAACTGAATATAGTGATGTAAAATATAAAAAGTAAAATACAATCATTTTAAACGATGATCATCTGAATATCTGAATTTCTAAAAAGGAAATAGAAATCGAAATCCATCATTTCCTTTCACGTTGCTGTTTTGGATAGTGCTGCATATTTATTTAAAATACAAAACACTAAATTAACGTCATCAAAAAACGATGATCAGTGGATATTGTTTTGAACAGCACTTTCTAATATTTCTTCAATATTATTCGATAAGTAATTATGAATCATTATAATACGTAAGGTCTCAGTGGCCACCTCTGACCTTAGGTTAATATTATTAATGATTTTGAAAGCCTTTATTTGTTTACACTTTTAATTTCTAAAAATCGTTATTACTTTAATATAATAATATAATAATTTAAAATTTTTATGTTTATTATCAATAATAATATTGTTTAGTTATTAATTTTGTCCCCAAAATAGTTATAAAACATGCCATTTGTTATTTCAAATTTATTTCAACCGAAAGAATGAAACCTTATTACATTTACACTACCCTCTGGACTCTTATTCTAATCTTAGGACTTATGTGCACATATTTCAGAGACACATGTCTCGTGTTCCATTGTTCGTAAAGTAAGAAAGTGGCGAAAAGCTTTAATTGTTTGCAACACGCTAAGGATTATGTTACACGTGCAGGATTTTGTGCTTTTTGTGTTTTCAAGATATATAACCCTCACAGATATTTTATCCATGTTTGGGCTTCAGCGTTTTCTGTTTTTTCTTAGCCGCTCACATTAAATTATATTATAATTAATGTAAATTATTGAAATAATCTAATAGCAATAATGGCAAAGGTTAGCAAAGGCTAGGTATGTAATTTATGTAAGCTTATTGTCAAATATTAATATCTATTACAGTTAAAAAATCAATTATTGTTACTTACAATAAATAATAGTCACACACCTTATACCATTTTATAGCTACCCAGATATCATTTATTATACTCATATGCCCTTCATTATTAGTTAACCATATTATACCAGCATTATAAATTATATTACTAAACAGCACTTGGCTCAATTGTAATTTGTTATATATATTTATATTTTATGCTTTTTAACTATTTTAGTAAATTATTTTATTTATAGTTATAGACATTTTAATTCCAAGCATTTCATTGAAAAAATATATTATTTAATATATAATATGTACACAATCCACATAAAAAAAAAAAATAATAAATAATAAATAATTGTAGCGGTGTTAACGTATACCAGGAATCGCAACCTTTTGTGACGAAAGGGACAACAATTACGATACACACAATTTTACAGATTTTAAAGTGGCACTAAAAATGTTCATTTCAATATAATAGTGTAAGCTTATAATGCTTATATAAATATAATATATATATATATATTTGATTTTCGATTTAAAATAAACGACTTTAAACACGAACTAATATTTATTCAAATAATATCATTATATCATTTTTTTTTATTATATTATAAAAATATTTTTAGCACAAGGCATATTATGTAAAAATTAATAATAAAATACTAAAGTTATTAAATAATAGATAGTTACATAAACGGGAGCATTCATGGCTTTCCAGGTCGTAAATTTGCCTCATAACTTGTTGTTTTATGTTTCAAGCACGACTCTAGATTTGTATTTGTTAGTTGGCTTCTTAGTTTATTTTGTATTGTATTCATGCAAGAGATAGTTTGCTCGCACGAATATGTCGACCCAACATTTACCAGCACTCCAAATGCCAACTTATCCACCTCACCGTAGCATTGTGGAAGACTATTCCATGCGTCGAATATAAATTCTTCTATTCGCGGCATTTCTTTTAGAGCTGTCCAGCTGTTCTGAGAGACGCGCGTTCATTTCTGGATATCCAATTCTTCCAAATTGCTCCCGAGTTCTGTGAACTTTCCAGTCTATAAGTCTTTGCTTTTTAAATCCAGGAATTACATTTGAAACGACCTATCAATTCTAAATGGTTCAGTCTTGATGATCTCATGTGTATTTGTGTTGAGAGGATTTACTGTGAACATATCAACTCAAGAGTACTTTTGTATTTTTTGAATTGTTCGAATACCTTGGCGAATTCATCTTTAATTTTTTTTATAGTTATGCAGAAGCCATTTATGTGCATTGGTTACATCGCGATACTGCTTAATATTGAAGTAAAATAATTTACTGTTTTCTATACAACATCAACATATTATAGCATCTATTATCATATTACATGAGGCGTCAAGAGCACTGAAAAAAAATTGGATGGCTCATAATTTTTATAAAATATTAAGATTATTAGTTTTTTAATAAAAATTGCTTGTGCCTAGGCTTCATACCAAATATTTTTATTGTTTCAATTGTTATGTTTGATTTTTAAATTAACAAAAGTTTTTTAAATATTCATTAATACCAAGCCATTCAAATCGGTTCTCTGTAATAGTACTATGAATTCATTTTTTAAGTATTATAAGAGAGC